ATCTCCACCTTTAACAGGATTGCACCGCCTTTTTCTGGTTTGTCACCATTACCAGGCTTTTTATTTTTTAGTGATACACCGGCAATTTTTTTATTAATTCTATTACAGCTACAATTACAGCTTCTACTATAACTATTGCAGCGTAAGGGGTTCACCCAAATCCATTTATTATATCAGTGGCGGATTAAGACTTCTTGGGGCCCGGAGCTATTTTTGTTTTTGGAGGCCTTTTTATGGGCCAGAGCCTAAAAATGACTTGAAAAAAAAAAAAAAAAAAGGTCCTTTAAAATTTTTGGGGGCCCCTAAATTTGCGGGGTCCGGTACTTTATTTTGCGATTTGATTATCCTCTTTCCTAAATCTACAGCCGCTTCTCTACTCATGGCGCCAACATTTTTTTCTTCATCCAAAAGCTTTTTATGTTTCTTAATATTCTATTCAAATTTAACCTTTTTCAACTATTATAAACATTAATAAACTCGTTGAGCTCAGTTAACCTCATAGAATGTTGTTCGTCAAGGTGTTTTACAACCTTTTTAAGTTGTTTTACTATATCGCTAAAAAAAAAGCCAGTGTCCTTGTTAATAAGGTGCATATTTTGGCCAACACCTCTTGAATCTTTTAGGTAACTTTTATACCATCCACATTTAAAAAAAAAGTTTAAATAAATCTTTTTACGCTTCAAAAGCGTTCATTGCTTTTGCCGTTATAACCGATTTATTTTTAAGAAAAGTTATACCTAAAAATTTAAAATCCTTAACTGTTAGGTGCATCACCAAGTTTATAGTGAAAATAAATATATCTTGCATCATCTTTACCAAAGATAGTATCAGAAAAAATATCATTATAACTTGTTCTAAATCTGGCTTTGCTTAACTTTATATTGTATATTATTGTTGCGTACCATCGTCTCTTTATATTAGTAACCTTAACAATATCTTCCCTTACAACCTTTATAGGTATAATTTTCATTTCCGTAATAATATTTTTCAAAACATCAACCTTTTTTAATGCTTTTTGAATTTGTTTTTCTTGCTTCTCTCTAATTATATCATAAAACAAAATGGCTTCAAGTCTTTCATATAGTAATAGAACTTTGCTCAAAAGTTAGTTCATTTTCCTTCTTTATCCCAAGATATGGTTGTTGTTCCTGGTTCAGTCCTATCAATATATTATGTTATTTTAACTAAAGGTAAAGATTTAACTGCTCGGCTTGTTGCAAATTTAGGACGTGCAATCAAATTAACAGTAAGAATTGAAGGCCAATAATCTCCATAATCATTAATAGATTATGGAGATTATTGGCCAGCAAGACATTTTTTTTACCCCCTACTCAGCCAGATTGATGCAAGGCATCAATAATCAAGCCCCCGGAAATCTCACCCTCTTAAGATTAAGATTTTCAACAGGTAGCTACTACTCAGGTAGTACTAGGTAGTAGTTGATTTGTCGGGCCAAACGCTAATTGATTGATTGATTGGGCCAAACGCTGATTGATTGATCGGGCCAAACGCTGCTACTTCACTCGTTTACGGACAAGGACAATCTCCTAATGGGTCTAATTACTGCACTCAATTTAGAACTTTTTAAAGCAATAAAGTCCGTTTTACCACTCAAGCTTTAGAGATCAGCCCAAATTTGAAATTATTTAGTGTCCATGCGCAAGTTATTATTTCAACTGATACATCAGCAACATCAAACTACAGTCTTAATAACATTTCTCTTCAGTATAAAGTTGTTTTTAATCCAGACTTAGCTAGATCTGTCTATAGTAGTTTAAGCCTCTTCAAACATGTCTTTGAATAAATATTTTGTCACCGCCGTGTCCAGCGCGATGTTACTCAAACCTCAAAGCTATTCGATGTCAACATTTTGTGTGAAAGTCTCAACTACGTTCTCATTTACTGCCCTCAGTCAACCAATTTTGCTTGACAGAATAAAAAGGTAAACGCTGTAATGAACATTTCAAAAAATAATGTCTTAACAAATAAAACTACTTAACAGGCTCTATTTAAACGAAATGGTACCGTAACACTTCTTCGAAGAAATGTACCGCTGCCTTTCTGGTTCTTCCCAAAACTCAAGCAATAAAAATTATACGTTAAATGTTGCAAATGGTTTTTAAGCTGTGACATCTAACAAATATTACTATAAATTTCAGATTTGCAATCTATCAGCATCCATTAAAAAGAAGTTATCTTTTTATTAACTATGTCTGAAAATATTTTCCATAGATACGATACTTAATTGAATATGAGATGAATTTCAATTAGCAGCCGTGGTGCAGTGGTTAGAGTTCTGGCTCAGAACCCAGAGGTCCCAGGTTCGACGCCAGCTCTAGCCCAACAAGCGACATTGGTACGGAAGGAGGCGTGAACTCCCCGTTAAATGCTCTCCCGCGGTGCTCTATGATAAGACTGTAAGGACTTCTGGGAGCACCTAAACTCATACAAAAAAAAAAAAAAAAAAAATTCGCTGTGCGCCAAATCAATTCGACGTGCGTGTTTTTGTTTACTTAAGCTTTTTTAGTTTTGTATGATTAGTACTAACAATGTTACAGTATGTTATGAATTAAAATTAACTATGAATTAAAACAAAGTATAAAACTTTTAGTGATTTAAAATTAAGAAATCCAAAATTTTTAAAATTTGTTATTTTCTAGACTGTTTATATGAAAGTTCCATAGTAAAATTTCATTCAACTCCACGCCTAAAACTTGTTTACATACTAATTTCTTCAGACAGACAACCACTTGAGATGGGAGTTAAACTTGTTGCTGGAAAATGGGCAGATATCTGGTTTTCAAACCAAATGTTAAACAATGAAAATGGTAAAGAATTGGAGGAAGCCATTTAAGATTATCCAAAGACTATCAATACATTCACGAAGTTTTGGTGTGATATTCTTTCACCTATAAATACGCAAAGACCCAACATTTGTGCCGAACGAGCAGTAAGTTTTTGAAGATATCAAAAATCTTTGCAAACCTGAAAAAACTTTTTTATTTGAAATATTTATTAACAAATCACAACTAAAGCTTTTTAGTTAATGTAGTTTTATCAATATAGTTTTTTAAGCATTTTGATATTTAGTTAATTTTATCAATATAGCTTTGTTTATGTGATATATATATATATATATATATATATATATATATATATATATATATATATATATATATATATATATATATATATATATATATATATATATATATATATATATATATATATATATATATATATATATATACTAGTTATTTTAATTTAACTTATCATTTTAAGGCAAAGCGGAAAACATTTTACTTCAAATTACTATTAAAGAATTTCTAGGCGTATTTGTTGTGTAATTAACAGCTTTTAGTTCGGCTTTCTGGTGGGTCAGTGCATGAGTTTTTTTTTTTAAACATTATAATGAAACTAATTTTTTTTTAATTATTTACAAGAGCTCACCAGAATATAACATGGTCATTGACTTTGTAAAATTAATATACCCCTATTGTACGTGTTAGATGTAACGTAAAGAAGCGTGTTGAAAATCACGCATTTTTTTACGATTACTTTAAAGGTTTATTTTAATGACTAATGTAGTTAGAGAATTGTCACGAGAGTTTCAATTTGTATATATACATAAGATTTTACGTAAGAAAAGTGTTAGAATCAATAACTTTCAGAAAGTTATTTTTCAATATATAAATACAATAATGCAACACTCGCAGTGTTGTCAGGGCCGACGACACCGGAAGGCCAGGGGACATGTATCCACTTTTTTTTTTTAAAGAAAAATCTGGTTATAGAGCACTTTTTTCGGCGTCCAGAACCGAATTTATGAAAATGTTCTAGAACCGAATTGTCTAAAAACTGCTTAGAATCGAATAAAATATAACTAATTTCTAGAATCGAATTTACTGAACATAGAATGAAATGATCGAATATCATTAAAAGTTAAATTATTTTTTACAATCGAATAATTTATCATCGAATTTTTTACAATCGAATTTGTAATTTTAAAACGTAATTACTTTTCACAGCATCGAATTTTTTTTACAATTGTAATTTTAATGCATTTGTGATGCAGTTGAAAGGTGGCATAACTTTTTTCAAACTGGTTTTTGCGTTAAAGCTTAAAGTGTACATGATCATGCAAAAAATGGTTTTTATTATTTTAGAAAATAATATATTTATTTGTTGCAAAATTCAATGTAAACATAAAAAATCCAACAAATGCATGTGAAAATATATATAGTTTTGTTTAAATTTAAAATAACAAAATGGAATACAGAATAATTGAAGGTGACAAACGGAAAACATTTGTATATGTTGCAGGGGAATTTGGTTACGTGTAAACACCGTCAACTTTCTGACGGAAGTGCAAAAAAAGTTTTGTTAACTAATTTACCTGAGACAAGACATGCTCACACTTGTGGAATTAGGCCCCAAAATTTTGATCACCTTCCAGCTCTTGAGAAAATGCGAGACATGGCTTCAACTACACAGCTACACCTTTGCGTGAAATCTACAACAATGTAATTCAGTCCTCAAATGAAGGTGTCAAGGCTGCACTTACTTTCAGAAAGTGTGAAAAAACTCTACAGAGTGCCCAAAGAAGTTGCTACTGCACAAACCCTAAATCTCCAAATGAGACAATTCTAAACATTTTGCAACCCAATCTATTTTCTAACATCTGCAAAGACCTTGTCGAATTTGAGTATCAGCTAGTTTTGTTCTTTTGTTCTTCAACACTGCTGACATATTTGTCAGGTAAATCATTTTTAAGCTATAATTAATTTCAACATCAAAATGGGGGAATCAAACCTAAACTAATTTTTTATTAATTTAGATCCCAGCTATTTCAAAATGTTAATCATTTCTCTTTTTCAGAAATCACTATCTTGTTTGTCGATGCTACATTTCGTGTGGTTCCTGCCATCTTCCATTGTGGTCAGCTGTTCAATATTTCACTGGAGTTCGGAACAATGATCCTCTCTGTTTTGCATGTCTTAATGACTGGACGAAAAGAATGTCTCTACGTACGTGTTTTTAAAAAGCTTCACGAACTTTCTCCAACTTTAGTGCCACAAACTGTGATGGCTGACTATGAAACTGCAATCAGAAGCTCTGCCAAAGCTGTTTTTTCAAACATAAGAATAACTGGGTGCAGGTTTCATTATGCCCAGGCCATTCTCAAAAAGATTAAGGCCATTGGTCTGCATGTGGAAAACACCAGGAATAATGACCTAATCATCAGAAAACGGTGTCGTAAATTCATTTCCATGAGCTTGTTACCACCCAGTTTAGTAAGGTTTGAAGTTGACAAACTAAAAGCTGAAGTTAACCATCACAGTGTCATTGCTGTTAAAGAAAAAATTAAAAAGTTTGTTCAGTATTACGAAAGGTATTAGATGCTCCAAAAATCTCCTGAGATGTTTTCTGTTCATGGCCTGCGTCAACGTACTAACAACATCTCTGAATCCTTACACTCCAAGATGAATTGTGCAATTACTGCACACCCTGGGTTTTCGCGTTTCTTAGACGAGCTTCAACAAAATGTAAGTCTTTATATATTAGCACTTTAGTGTTCTTATCCAATAGATGCAGCAGTTGAGATCCTTTCTATAAAATTAATTTTAACAAATCAATTTTAAATAGGTAATCTATCCAATTGAAGTTAAGTTGCTCCAGATTCAAAATGGTTCCTAAACAAGAAGAGAACTGCGTCAAGATCGTCAAAGGCAGCATAAGCGTCTTCGTGGGTATGAAAAAAAGCTTGCAAATGGTGAATGGACTGCTACCAAATTTCTTAAAGCTGTATCATTCCTCTGAAACGATATGAAAATGCCAAGTGATCAGGAAGTTCAAGAATTCATTGAACAGGTTAGATAATCAATTACAATTTTTAACAATAAACAAAAAGTGTTTACTGCATTGTATTCATGTTAGGGGTTTGTTGTTGTTGTTTTTGACAAGTGGAGACTTCCCTTTGTTGGGACAGTGACAAGAAATTTTACTAGTTAGACATTTTATATTTATACCTTTTTTAGGAACAAACTGTTGATGAAGAATCTCAATCGAAATGGACAAGCTGCTGTCGTGGAAAGACCAATCGAAAATATCTGCAACGTTTTCCTCGTCAACAGTCTTCAAGTTGTCGTTTTTCCTTGCCGCCATCTTTGCCTATGCCAGCGATGTGTTGAAGCCATTCAAAGTAGTGCTATAATCACTGTCCAGTATGCAGAGGACAAAAAGCAGATTTAATAAATGTGTTTACTTAAATGTATTATTTAATGTATTATTTAATGTATCATTTAATGTATTATTTAATGTATTATTTAATGTATTATTTAATGTATTATTTAATGTATTATTTAATGTATTATTTAATAGACTATTGCATACATTAAAGTTTTAATTTATTTAACTGATTCGATTCTAGATAATTTGGTTCTAGATGGAGGTTATATATTATTCGACTAAAACAAGTTTTAATAACTTAATTAAAAAAATTCGATCCTTAAAAATTCGACTGTAAATGATTCTATCCTAACAAAGAAAGTTCCAATTTGAGTCTAAATAGCTTCGATCAATAAAAAATTCGATTGTCTCATTCTACTCTATTTATTTTTAGTTCTGACATTGGACACGCTTTTTTCACAAATTGATGGTTGTGCCTCCCCCCCCCCCTCCCCACACACACTCATTTCAAAACCCTTGTCGTTGGCCCTGGTTGTGAAAACTTTGAATATGTTTTGATTGTTAATGTTAAAGTTTAACGTATTGTAGTATTGTTTGAATGCTTGTGTACTTATTTGTGGGCTTTGATATTTACGTTCACATGAGAACATGACATGTTTTTATTTATTTATTGTATATGTGAATTTTGAATGGTTTTTATTCTTACCTTTTTTAGATTGCGTAATGAACTTGAAGGAAAGGTTCAAACTAGAAGGGACACAGAACACTCAGTATTTGTTAAACCTTGTAATTTTCAAGAAAGTCAATTGCTGACAAAAGCAGAAGTCTTTAAGCATTATTTATAAATCAGACACGTCTAAATTTTCTCAGAATACTTAGTCTCTGAAGAACTATCAATTAGAGACATAAATAAGATAGTGGCTGATGGTTTGGTAAACCTATGGTTAAAGGCGGGGTTGTCAACAGGTTTACATAACAGAATTCTGAAAAGCTGGGATAGATTGGTTACTGATCTAAAAGGGTTAAGGTAATGTGTTGATGAAAAGAGAAATTCATCTACTTTTTAGTGCCAAAATGGTTTGTTTAATAAAGTAGAACCAAGAGACCGTATGTCTCTTTTTTGTGTTTCCAAGAAAAACAAGTTTTAGAATTTAATTTCTAAAGACTTTCTGCCAGAATGTCGGAATAATTTTTAAATATTTTAAAAAGTTGTATCATTTTTGAGACTAGATTTATTGGACATATACTTATTGATTGTTGAAAATTTAATAATAAAAAACAGAAAAAACACAAAATGTGGACGTACGTCCTCTTGGTTCTCAGCTGACAATTTGTCCTTGCAAATGTGTTAATTGTGGTATCAGGGGCCAATCAAAATGCCATTGTTTTATTAAAGCTCCGTTTTAGAAATAGGCCAGATTGACCAAGAAGAAACAAAACGACTCCAAAAGCAGAAAATTCTTGAAGAACGGAAAGTTCAGATTAGAAAAAGATTGCAAAAACATGTCAAGCTTCGTCATTGAAAATAACCTTTTCCTGCGAGAGAAAGCAGTTTTTGTGATAATAAAGAAGAACATGAAAAAACTGCTGATTCAGACGACTGCACACATACATGATTTCAAATATCGCAATGTATTTCAGTAAAAAGAACTCTGTCGATTAATGGACTAACAGAAATTAACAACAGAGATGCACGTAAAAACGTCAACGCTTGCCATTCGATTTACCACAGTACATATTGGATCCACCAAAATTAAGAAGATAAAGAAACCATTGGCGATAAAAATAAGTTGAAGAACATGCAGAATTGGCAACAGAAATCATTGGAATTGATTTTGATGCCCGTATAGACAAGTTTGTACAACAAGATAATGATAAAACAAGAAAAGTTAGTAGGCCCACTTCCATCAAAGTAGATAATTTTGTTATCTGCTTATATTCTAACAGCGTTATTTTTATCATATTCATGATCTCAGTAAAGATCATAAATATTTACTTAAAGCATGCAATGCTGTTATCCAAGGATTCCAAAACTCGGATGTAGAAACAAAGCAGTATTTCAAAAATACTCATCCCGTAAATCTTAATCATGCCATGTGGTTCGCATTTATCAATCGTCTGCTTCGGTTATAATTGTCTACTGTAAAAATCAAGACAAGTCTGATGAAAAATTTTATCACATTGCAAAAACATTTATTAGATATTAAAACTGGAAATGCGTTGGAGCTCGGAATTTTTTCATGATTATGAAAAGCATTCAGAATCTTAAATATCTTGATACAATAGCAATCGCCCAAAAAGTATTGAAAAGAAATTCTTATTTCGCTTATCTTGAAAGTGTTTTGTTGTCAGCCATCATAGATGAAGAAAACAAAAGCATACGTATACTAGTATTCTCTTATCTTCTACATGCAATAATTTTCTTTTGCTCAATGCAGCAAAGAAAATTGTTGCATGTAGAAGATAAGAGAATACTAGTATACGTGTTTTCTCTCTACAAAAGATTTTTCTCAATGTTCATGCTTCCTCGTATTTAGAAATGATGGATTGGTCAAATTTCGATATCTCTCCTCCTCCTATTTTATCTGAAGTGAACGATGAAGACATGATACATGTTAATCAATGTTACAAGTGGCACTCTTTAAGCTCCTGTTATGCCATGCCATTCTCAAAATGTTGAAGGTCTAGTCAAAGAAGTATTTTAAGTATCAAAGATTGTAACAACCTATAAAAAACGTCATGGAATGCTTGTTTCCGCTTTAAACTCGAAATGTGAGGACTTTGCATTTTCACATTTGTTTTTAGTATACAACGGTAGCTTTTAACCTTTACATGGTGTGTTTACTCACTTTCAGGCGATATGTTGGCGAATAACAGTGGATTTTATACCTATATATGATCTTGAAAAAAAAAAGTTAGAAACAATCTCTTATTCTCCGATGCCGACAATGAGGCCCTCACAATAAAAATAATCACTAAAAATAAAAAAAACATTTCAGTAACTACTTGTTACAGGCCACCTGATGGGAATACTATCAAATTTTCTAACTAATTGAATCAGATCTTTATAAAAAATAACAATGAAAAAAAAATATTTTGCATAGGAGACTTGAACATTGTTTAAAATACAACAAAAACACCAACATTAAAATCTTTATTGACAATTCATTTCAGCTCGGTATATTCTCACTAATTAACAAACCCATCCGAGTCACCTCAACCTAGAATACAGCCATAAATAGTATATTGACCAACTCATTTTTAGACATATCCTTTAAAACAGGAATACTTAAAATTGGTATATCAGACCACTTTCCAATATTCTTTTCACTTAGACAAAACTCAGCGTCATAAAATAATTCAAAAATCAAAACATATAAAAGAAAAATTAACTCTTCTATTCACGAATTTAAAGAAACCTTATCAAAAAAAACTGGTCAAATGATTATCTAAAATGCGACCGAGGACTTACCAATTCTGCTTATAATTTATTTATTGATATTTTTCTTGAGCACTACAACAAACACTTTCCAATTGTTGAAAAAGAAATAAAAGTTAAATATTTGAGATGTCCATGGATAACAAGCGGAATAAAAAAATCGTCTAAGAAAGAACAAAAACTATACAATAAATATTTAAAAAATAGAAACGAAAAAATCTTACTGTTTATAAACAATACAAAAACTTTTTGAAAAAATTGAAAAGAAATCTAAAAAAATGTATTTTTCTAAACAATTACAAGAACACAATGGTAGTATTAAAAAAACATGGGAAATTATGAACGAAGTTATTGGAAAAATCAAAATTAAGTCCAAAATTTTACCCTTCAAATTGAGGAAGATGGATTGGAGTATACAGATAAAAAATCTCCAATAAATTTAATAATTTTTTTGTAAATATCGGTCCTAAACTAGCATCCAAAATAAACAACTGGAACAATTCATTTAACAACTATTTTACTGACAATACTAGTTCATTTTCTGAGAGTGACCTAAAATCCGAGGAATTTGAAGAAGAAACAAAATCAATATTAGAAGAAACAAAGCTCCGTGCATCGACGACATTTCTAGCAATGTAGTATATGATATTTTATACATTTGAAAAGATCCTTTTTTAAAGATTTTTAAGTCATAAATTAGAAGTGAAGTTGTTCCAAACAAATTAAAAATTGCGAAGATTTTACTTATATTTAAAACTGGAGACACGGCCT